TTTCAGCATCATCAGGCTAGTCACTACTTTCCTGCTTCTGTTACCGTGGTAACTGGTGCTAGAAACAAACCAGCAGGTTAGGCATCTGTAAAGCACCAACTCTGGACCAGTAAGTGTCCTTTAGGAGGAACCAGTTCATAAAAAGTTGTGTTTGACACGGCAAGCATCTTCAGCCGGTAGGTCTCAGACCCAGAAGTGTCTCCCAGCTAACTATTATGGGATTTTCAGTCAGAAAAACAGAATTCACCAAACTCTATCGACATGTTAACGTTTGTTTTCACTGTTAGGTCTTGTCAGGTCTTGTTAGGTCTTGTTAGGTCGTGTTAGGTCTTGTTAGGTCTTGTCAGGTCTTGTTAGGTCTTGTTAGGTCGTGTTAGGTCTTGTTAGGTCTTGTTAGGTCTTGTTAGGTCTTGTTAGGTCTTGTTAGTTCTTGTTAGGTCTTGTTAGGTCTTGTTAGGTCCTGTTAGTTCTTGTTAGATCTTGTTAGATCTTGTTAGGTCTTGTTATGTCTTGTTAGGTCTTGTTAGATCTTGTTAGGTCTTGTTAGTTCTTGTTAGTTCTTGTTAGGTCTTGTTAGTTCTTGTTAGGTCTTGTTAGGTCTTGTTAGTTCTTGTTAGGTCTTGTTAGGTCTTGTTAGTTCTTGTTAGGTCTTGTTAGTTCTTGTTAGGCCTTGTTAGGTCTTGTTAGGTCTTGTTAGTTCTTGTTAGGTCTTGTTAGGTCTTGTTAGTTATTGTTAGGTCTTGTTAGGTCTTGTCTTGTTAGGTCTTGTTAGGTCTTGTTAGTTCTTGTTAGGTCTTGTTAGGTCTTGTTAGGTCTTGTTAGTTATTGTCAGGTCTTGTTAGGTCTTGTTAGTTATTGTCAGGTCTTGTTAGGTCTTGTCTTGTTAGGTCTTGTCTTGTTAGTTCTTGTTAGGTCTTGTTAGTTCTTGTTAGTTCTTGTTAGTTCTTGTTAGGTCTTGTTAGGTCTTGTCAGGTCTTGTTAGGTCTTGTTAGGTCTTGTTAGGTCTTGTCTTGTTAGGTCTTGTTAGGTCTTGTTAGGTCTTGTCTTGTTAGGTCTTGTTAGGTCTTGTTAGGTCTTGTCAGGTCTTGTTAGGTCTTGTTGGGTCTTGTTAGGTCTTGTTAGGTCTTGTCAGGTCTTGTTAGGTCTTGTTAGGTCTTGTCAGGTCTTGTTAGGTCTTGTTAGGTCTTGTCTTGTTAGTTCTTGTTAGTTCTTGTTAGGTCTTGTTAGTTCTTGTCAGGTCTTGTTAGTTCTTGTTAGGTCTTGTTAGTTCTTGTTAGGTCTTGTTAGGTCTTGTCAGGTCTTGTTAGGTCTTGTTAGGTCTTGTTAGTTCTTGTTAGGTCTTGTTAGTTCTTGTAAGGTCTTGTTAGGTCTTGTCAGGTCTTGTTAGGTCTTGTTAGGTCTTGTTAGTTCTTGTTAGGTCTTGTTAGGTCTTGTCAGGCCTTGTTAGGTCTTGTCAGGTCTTGTTAGGTCTTGTTAGGTCTTGTTAGTTCTTGTTAGGTCTTGTTAGGTCTTGTCATGTCTTGTTAGGTCTTGTTAGGTCTTGTCTTGTTAGTTCTTGATAGTTCTTGTTAGGTCTTGTTAGGTCTTGTTAGTTCTTGTCAGGTCTTGTTAGTTCTTGTTAGGTCTTGTTAGGTCTTGTCAGGTCTTGTTAGGTCTTGTTAGTTCTTGTTAGGTCTTGTTAGGTCTTGTTAGGTCTCGTTAGGTCGTGTTAGGTCTTGTTAGGTCTTGTTAGGTCTTGTTAGTTCTTGTTAGGTCTTGTTAGTTCTTGTTAGGTCTTGTTAGGTCTTGTTAGGTCTCGTTAGGTCGTGTTAGGTCTTGTTAGGTCTTGTTAGGTCTTGTTAGTTCTTGTTAGGTCTTGTTAGGTCTTGTTAGGTCTTGTTAGGTCTTGTTAGTTCTTGTTAGGTCTTGTTAGGTCTTGTTAGGTCTTGTTAGTTCTTGTTAGGTCTTGTTAGGTCTTGTTAGGTCTTGTTAGTTCTTGTCAGGTCTTGTCAGGTCTTGTTAGGTCTTGTTAGGTCTTGTTAGGTCTTGTTAGTTCTTGTCAGGTCTTGTCAGGTCTTGTTAGGTCTTGTTAGGTCTTGTTAGGTCTTGTTAGGTCTTGTTAGTTCTTGTCAGGTCTTGTTAGGTCGTGTTAGGTCTTGTTAGGTCTTGTCTTGTTAGGTCTTAGTTCTTGTCAGGTCTTGTTAGGTCTTGTTAGTTCTTGTCAGGTCTTGTTAGGTCTTGTTAGGTCTTGTTAGGTCGTGTTAGGTCGTGTTAGGTCTTGTTAGGTCTTGTCTTGTCAGGTCTTGTTAGTTCTTGTCAGGTCTTGTTAGGTCTTGTCAGGTCTTGTTAGATCTTGTTAGGTCTTGTTAGGTCTTGTTAGGTCGTGTTAGGTCTTGTTAGGTCTTGTTAGGTCTTGTCAGGTCTTGTTAGGTCTTGTTAGGTCTTGTTAGGTAGTTTGCATGACCGCTTTCTCCTCACAGTGATTCCCCTTTAGTTGCTAGAATCAGTGATGGTGGCAGAATCAGCTACTAGCATCAGGTCAGTCGTGTACTCTCAGCCCAAGCAGGGAGTTTTCTGCTGCACCAGTAATCCCAGTGTGACGTTCAGTGTGGGCGTCAGCGTCTCTGCCGACCTTTGTTTCCTTGCACACTTGGCCTTTTGTTGGTTCCACGCTGACTGTCTGTCCTCTGGCACTTCTGCTGCTGCTGCTCAGCATTTGTCCCCTCCCTGATCGCCCCTCTCCTCTGCTGCAGGTCGGTTTGATGAGGTGTTGATCCGTCACCAGGTCAAGTACCTGGGTCTGATGGAGAATCTCAGAGTGAGGAGAGCCGGCTTTGCTTACAGACGGCGCTACGAGATCTTCCTACAGAGGTGATCAGCATGACGACTAACAGCAAACGCTGCTGCAGCTGCAGAAGGTTGAGGGTTTGCCTCTGCACGCGTTTGTATTTATCAGAAAACACGTTATTGTGACGTGGCTGCACACACATCAGCACCTTTACAGAAAACTCAAACTTTAGGCTCAACACATCCGGATGTAAACACTCTGGTTCTCTCCTAAGAAGTGTGTTTTTCGACCGGACCCTGTTTTGTATCTGCACCCATGCAGATCTACGACGTCAAGGGTTTGCTCTAGCACACGTCTTGTTGTAGTGACTTGTTTTTGTGCACTCTGTGTCTGTTTAGGTATAAGTCTCTGTGCCCAGACACGTGGCCCAACTGGGAGGGGAAGCTGGTTGATGGAGTGTCCACGCTGGTCAAACATCTGGGATACAAGCCTGAGGAGTACAAACTGGGCAGGTCAGCCGTTCAGCCGCATAAACAACCTAAACGTCAAGCTGGTTACCAACGATTCGGTTTATGTTCTGCTTTTATTTTTCACCGTTTAGATCCAAAATCTTTATTCGCTTCCCAAAAACCTTGTTTGCCACCGAGGATGCCCTGGAGACCAGGAAACACAGCCTTGGTAGGAGTGTGGAAAGAGTTGCGATGGGTCTTCGGCCCCTGATGTGTTGCTAGTGTGACTTATTTGTGTGTCTAATCTCATCACAGCCACTAAGTTACAGGCTGGGTGGAGAGGATACAGTCACTGGAACAAGTACCAGAAACTCAGAACCTCGGGTGAGCAACACCAGACACGCAGTAGGCATCCAGTCCAACCTCAGCTGTCTGAAGGTCTTTGTTTTGTGTGCTTTTCTTGTGTCCACTGCAGCCATTGCAATCCAGGCTTGGTGGAGGGGTATCCTGGCCAGGAGGAGAGCCCAACGCAGGAGGAAGGCTGCCGACACAATACGCAGGTAGAGACCACACGATTACCTCAGAGGACACACACGTTCACCGTACTCACGATGGCGTCCATTCCCAGGTTCATCAGAGGCTTCATTTACCGCCACGAGGAGCGCTGTCCAGAGAATGAATATTTTCTGGATTATGTGCGCTACTCGTTCCTCATGAGTCTGCACAAGAACCTGCCCAAGAGCGTCCTGGACAAGAGCTGGCCGACACCTCCCGCTGCTCTAACAGAGGTGGGAGTCAGGAGCACACCTGACCGCTCAGATAGTGTGGGGAATAAAGCTGGGTTGGTTGTAAACAGCATGAGTGCCAAACAGTTACTGTAGTTTTCTTTCTCTAAACATCCATTCGTTTGTGTTGGATGAGTTCGACAAGCTGAAGATAAAAATCATGAAACAGTGGATATCGAAGGTCTGCACACCCCTGGTGAGATGCCGGGTTCCTGTGCTTGGCACCTGTCATGTGACCTTTAACCCGTACCACCCAACTGAAAACCAGAGGTCAATGTTTTAGATGGAGGGTTGAAAACCAGGAAAAGTTGAATGATTTGGTTGCATAGGTGTGCACGGCCCTTCTAACTGGAGATGTAGCTGTGTGCAGAGTGAAGCAATCACATGCAGTCGTGTTAGGAGTCAGCGTGCACCTGCCATCAAACAGCTTCTGATTAACCACAAATAACGGTCAGTTTCTGTGCTAGTTGCTTCCCACAGCAACAGCCACGGTGCACAGAGAGCTGCCGAAGCATCAGAGGTGTCTCGCTGTGAAAGCTACAAATGAACTTGTCAGGCAGTAGATACCACGGACCACAGTGAAGACGGTCATCGTCAACAGTGAGACTATCAAGGACTGAACGTTCCTCCAAAGTTGAAGAAAAGATGAGAAGAAAACTGGTCAGGGCCTGCAGCAACATTAAAGCATCTGCAGGAACATCTGGCAGGTACTGGCTGTGTTCTGCTGGGCTATGGGCAGAGCAGCAACACCAAAGTACTAGGTTAAGGATAAGCAGCATGTCATTTTAGTGGTTTTGGTTTCCTTCCATCCACCTAAAGGATTTCAGTGCAGTTATAGAACACGATAAAGGCGGAAAAGGCTCTGAAACGATGGATCTGGTTGAACCAGTGATGCTGGTGACACTCAGCTCTGACACCTTCTCTGCTCCTGTGTCAACATCCACACAAAGACTTGTCTGGAGGACATAGAGGCGTGGAGGAAGCTCAGCGTTCTAAACAGCACACCTCATCAGCTCTGCTCCTCCACCATGACCAGCAGCACGGTCTCTGGCCAGAACCCATCCCTATCCACAACTGTCACCAACTTGGGAGTGAGACTGGATTCACCTTTGACGCCCACAACAGACGTCTGTGTAAGGCATCCTTTTATTATCTGAGGAACAACCCAACCACGTCTAATGCTTAGCCTGGCAGATGCACAGAAGCATGCCCACGCCGTCATCTCCTCCAGAATGGACTTCTGTAATGCAGTCCTGATCGGGGTTCCTATAAAAGCATTCAGAGCATCCAGAACAGCGCTGCTAGGATCCTGGTGAGGGTGTGCAGGTGTGAGCACATCGCCCCCGTTCTGACACATCTTCACTGGCTCCCAGTTTCATTCAGAGTTGAAAACAACGTTTTCCCGCTCTCTCATCACGGTCATTTCCCGACAAATCGTGTTCTCCGATCTGCAACAGCAAATCCCCAGAGCTAAGCTCGGGCCTCTCCCGCTGCTGCCCCCCCCCAGGCTGTGGAAAGCCCTACCCGCCCACCGGAGCCCACAGATGCTTTCAAACAGAACCTTAAAACGTACCTTTTGCTCTGCGGCACTTTGATACTGATCAAATATGAAGGCCTTACAAATAAAACTCATTACTGTTCGTCCAGCACAGCACTTTCCCAGGGGTGTGTAGACGTTTGATCCCCACCACCAGAAAACACAAAAGTCAGTTTAAATGCATCCTAATGGCATCAGTCAGAACTAAAATGTTGTTCTTTTTGTCGAGAAGAATGTTTTTGATTTCCTCCAAGTGAACGTGATGTTCTAGCTTTACTGTAATTTATCGACCAACATGAACGTTTCTGCAGTGATGTTGTACTTTTTGGTCCTAGTGAGAGGATGTTGCAGCAACAGTCGATGCTTACTCACACAGCCAGTCAAAGACCGCGTGTGTTCAGACCGTTAGGGGCTCTGTGTGTGTTCAGGCATCAGAGCGTTTGCGGAGGATGTGCATGCAGAACATGGTGTGGAGCTACTGCAAGAAGATCAGCCCCGAGTGGAAACATCAGGTGAGAAACGTCCTGGTGCTGCTTCTGGCTGAGCCGCTGCTTCCTTCACTTACATCCTCAACATCGCGCTGGTTTGAACAGATGGAGCAGAAAATGGTAGCCAGTGAGATCTTCAAGGACAAGAAGGACAACTACCTTCAGAGCGTCCCCAAGCTGTTCGTCAACACGCGGCTCGGTAAGTCTCCTGCAGCGCCCCCACCGCCTCGCTCCTCATGAACAATGTTCTCCACTCACCTTATGTTTGCATCTAATAAGACGGAGAGGACATCAACCCCAAGGTGGTGCAGGCTCTGGGCAGTGAGAAGATGAAGGTTAGTGAAGTTCTCATGGATGTTCTCATGTCTGGCATGAACAATGTTCTGACCTCCGCCCTGCCTGGTGGTAGTACGCAGTCCCAGTCACCAAGTACGACAGAAAGGGCTACAAGCCTCGCTCCCGCCAGCTGCTGCTCACTTCCAACAGCGCCATCATCGCTGAAGAAGGAAAACTCAAACAATGCATCGACTACGGAGCTCTGAAAGGTCAGAGGTCAAGCCATCTGTGCTGCCAGCTGCTGCCCACTCCAGTCTGAACACTGTTGTTCCTTTCAGGCGTCTCAGTCAGCTCTCTGAGTGACGGCCTGTTTGTTCTGCACGTGCCCGCCGACGACAACAAACAGAAGGTAAGGCCCAAGGCGAGCCGCCGCGGCTCCCGTGCGTGAGTTTTCACCGTCTTCTTCTGCTGCCTTCCTCACAGGGAGACGTGGTTCTGCAGAGCGAGCACGTGATCGAGACCCTGACCAAGATCGCCATCTGCGCCGACAAAATAAACAGCATCAACATCAACCAGGGCAGGTGGGAGGAAGAGAAGTGTCGTCTGTGTTATTTTAGTTAAAGCTGATCTCCTAACTTCCTTCCACCGGGGTGACGGGGACGCAGACGTCAGGCTCAGTGGGACCACAGCAGGTGAAGCAGCAGTCCTGTAGGGGTCAGCCGGACTAGAAAGGTTGCTTCTTCTCTGTCTGCTTCGTGCATTTATGACGGCTAAAATCCCAGATCCAAGCGGTGCTCTGTGCAGGACTCCAGCTGACACAGGGTTACAGCTGATGCTGCGCTGACCTTAAACAGTCTGGTGACCAACTTAGAAGGTTCCAGATGGTGCTGTTTTAGACCCGTGAGAGCCAGGGTAGGCACGGTTTATGATCACATATTACCAGATGTCATTTGTCTTAGATAAGAGTTATGTTTGTCAGCCTGAACAGGAAATGAAATGGTTAGGTTCGGTGAAGCTCCGCCCACGCTGTCAAAACGCAGCGTCCAGGGCAACCTGCTGTCCTTGCACCTTGTTTTTCCGTGTGCTGACACCAGTTCCGCTCCCGGGGGCGTCGGCACTAATTTACTAACCCAGCTGCAGCAGGTTTCATTTCTTCGTGTTTTAGTTTTAGATTATTTTCTGCTGCAGGTTGTTGTCTTGAAGGTGTTTGAATTGGGTCTGATGCAGTCAGAATTTTAGCTGACATGGAGCAGCAGTAGCTCAGGAAGAAGAGCAGGTTGTCCAGTAATCAGAAGGTTGCAGGTTCAATCCCGGCTCCGACCTGCCTTGCCCGCTGGTGGTGGTTGGAGAGACCGGTGGCGCCAGCGTTGGCAGCCTCTCCTCTGTCGGTGCGCCCCAGAGCAGCTGTGGCTGCATTGTAGCTCGTCCCCACCAGAGTGTGAATGGGTGAATGACTGACGGTGCTGTGAAGTGCCTTGGGGGGTTGCAGAACCCTAAGAAGGTGCGCTCCGACCACTGGACCACCACGTCTGCTGCATGACAGCAGTTGCCTAAACCACATGCTGGCCAGGGCAGGCAGGTTTCAGAACAGAGACTAGCTCCTGGGACAGGAGCAGAGCCTGATGGTGCGAGGAGGGAGGAGTGATGACGCACTTCTTTTCCATCTGTACGTTTTAAGATTTTCAAAATAAAATTCAACCTTTGCAGCTGAAACAGGAAAATGCATGACTAGAGCCAAAAAAGGGTTTGTTTGTTTGTTTGTTTGTTTGTTTGTATTATTAATGAGGAAATAACAATATGACATGGTTAAAAAACTCAGAAAAGTGGATTTTCCTTTAAATCAGATTTATTTTTCACACCAGGTCACAACAGCTGCCTCCAGTCATCAGAAGCGGTCCAGATGCAGCCAGTTGTTCTGACTTTGTCTCTGCTTTGTCTTTCCAGTATAAAGTTCATGGGGGGTAATGGGAAGGAAGGGATCATAGACTTCACGCTCGGATCACAGCTGCTGGTGGCGAAGGCGAAGAACGGACACTTGTCTGTGGTGAGTAGACAACACAGTCATACCGTAGGTGTACCTAGTCCGCTCGAAGCAGCTCAGTAGTGCAGCTGTCACTAGTTTTTATGCTACACCTGGCTGTAAGAGGCCCTGCTGCAGTGCTTGTAAGAAGCTCGTCCTGCTGAAATGTGACTGGATGGTTCTGTTGCAGACGGCTCCCAGACTGAACTCCAGATGATGTCCACTCCAACCAGAACACATCAGGAAGGCCTGACACCCCCCACCCCACCCTCCACCAATCACGTGAACAGACACATGCTCTGTCTCAGCCAATCAGAAGCCATCTTTCTTCACATGGCTGCTTACAACAAAAATGGGCCCATCCTCCCATCCCCTAAGAGGAGAAAAAGAGCGACTTCAACTAACTCATATTTATGTTTATATATTTTTTATTATTAATTTTGTTGCTTTTTGATTATTCAGATTTTTTTTTATTTGAGGCCAAAGTATAACAAACGTGGTGCGTTTTCCTGCACATGTCTGCTTATTGTGCCTCAGAGCAGTAAAATAATGAGGGAGACACCGAATCAAAGGAGAAGGAGTTGTTGTAGATCTTGTTTGCTTCTTCATTCTAAATAATAATTATATAAACGTTCCTCCTGACACTACCGAGGAAAATGGTCGTCATTGATGCATGCCAGCATGATGGGCAGCTAAGGCATGAAGCGAATGTGCGTGTGTGTGTGTGTGTGTGTGTGTGTGCGTGCGTGTGTGCGTGCGTGTGTGTGTGTGTGTGTGTGTGTGTGTGTGTGTGTGTGTGTGTGTGTGTGTGTGTGTGTGTGTGGAGGAGTGATACTACATCACAACCACAGCTGCCTTCTACCTTGATGCCTGAAGTAGTCCAGAATCAGCTGATCCAGAACCAGCTGTCTCTAGATTATGAGCCCTGCTCCACCAGCTGATCCAGAACCAGCTGTCTCTAGATTATGAGCCCTGCTCCACCAGCTGATCCAGAACCAGCTGTCTCTAGATTATGAGCCCTGCTCCACCAGCTGATCCAGAACCAGCTGTCTCTAGATTATGAGCCCTGCTCCACCAGCTGATCCAGAACCAGCTGTCTCTAGATTATGAGCCCTGCTCCACCAGCTGATCCAGAACCAGCTTCTGCCGGAAGAGCTCTGACCTGGTCTGACCTGCATCAGAGCATCGAGCAGCAGCATTACACTTCTCCGTTCTGTTCTTATTTCCATTGCATCAGATGAAGTCCTGTCCTTCAGACCTTACCAACCTTTCCTCAGCCCACCTACCAAACACCCTGATGATTCATTCTGATTCTGTGTTGTTTTATGCCTTTGATCAATTAAAAATGTTTTATTTTAAAAGGATGGAAGGGGCTATAATACTTGTATAATTCTCATTCCACGTTATAAATAAGTCAGGGAAGAGGGGAAACAGATTAGAATATTGTTTACTGGGAAACATTGTGTGCCTTATTTGGAACAGTGACACAAGAGCAAGCTGGGACTATAGGAAGTTCCCCTGAACACAGCTTTATTCAGATGTTTTCAGATACACTCCTGTTTTCAGTCACAACTTACTGTACACACAGAACCAACGTATAATTATGCTAACACAATAAAAAGATGCTAATAATTTGCAAAAAGATGAATTAAAATGATAATAAAAGCTTTTAAATGGGCTTTGAGTGACATGTCTTTCATTTCCAGTTGCATGGTGCATTCAGGGCCCATGTTTAATCAACTCTGTTTCAATTCAGTTTATTTATATAGCTCCAAATCACCACAAGAGCAGTCTCAAGGCTCTTCACAAAGTGAACAATCCAACAGAGGTTCATTAAGCTGCAGCATTAAGGAGTGGCTACATACGCACTAAATGATCAACAAGATGTGGTATTCCATATAAATATGAAATATGTTAGGCCTGACTTGAGCTGAGCGGGACCGGAGCGAGAGTTTGGATTGTAGCGTGTATTTATGACCCAAGCGCGGAGTGACTGACGCCGGGCAGATAGACACGCGTTTGCTCTAGGAGCCAAACCGTAACAGGCTAGTGAGCACGGCGGCTCCAAAAGGAAACAAGCTGACTTACTATGAGTCGGCAGGGTGAGTAGCTTGGGCTGGTCTGGTCAGAACTGGTTAGAGTAATCCGGTAAGATTCGGTAAGGACTCGGAACATAGTCTGGTTAGGATCGATGACTGACTGATCTGGTGTTGTGCTGCACTTCCTTATGTAGACGTGGCGGGTGACGTGAGCCGGAAGGCTAGCGCTGGGAATGCTGGGTAGCGGAGTTGGACCGGGCTGAATGAGTGTGGGTTCCTCCGGGGGAGGATGTCGAGGGCTGAGAGGAAGGCAGTGTGACAGGACCCCCCACCCGAGGGACGGCCCCAGAAATCCCAGGGCGACTGGCCCAGAAGTCAGAGATGAGCGAGGTGTCCATGATTGCGTTCGTCGGCTCCCAGGAGCATTCCTCAGGACCGTAACCCGCCCAATCCACCAGGTATTGCCAGCCTCTGCCACGGCGATGGGCGTCCAGCAGGCACCGCACGGCGATAATCCCATCCTCGCCAACCCCTCGAGGCGGAGGCTCGGGATCCGGAGGAGGAGTGAGGGGAGAAGTCCGTACAGGCCTCAACTGGGACACATGGAAGACGGGATGGACTCTGAGAGGCCTGGGCAGGCGGATGCGGTAAGCCACCGGGTTAATGACCCTCTCCACCGGGTAGGGTCCCACAAACTGTGCAGCGAGTTTCCGGGAGCCACCGGGCAGGCGCATGTTCCAGGTAGACACCCATACCCTGTCGCCAGGTTGGAAAACCAGCCCCGTCCAGTGGCGGCGTCTGTGCTGGCAAGCGTACTCCGTGTTTGTTCACTGGATGGCTGCCTGAGCAAGGATCCAGGCGAGGCGGCAACACCGGACCAGGGTCTGGGCAGCGGGGACCTCAGTCTCCGGTTCCTGGTGGTGGAAGAGAGGAGGCTGGTACCCGTAGCAGAGCTCAAACGGGGAAAGACCAGTGGCCGTGGAAACGTGGAGATCATGGGACATCTCTGCCCACATGAGGTATTTGGGCCAAGTGGTTGGCTGAGACGAGGCAAAGCAGCGGAGGTACCGACCAAGTTGCTGATTGGTACGCTCGGTCTGCCCATTGGTTTGGGGGTGGTAACCCGAGGAGAGACTGCTACTGGCACCAACCAGCCGACAGAAGGTTTTCCAGAATCTGGACATGAACTGGGGTCCCCAATCTGAAACAATGTCCTGGGGGAAACCATGGAGGCGCACCACCTGCTCCAGGAGGATCTCAGCAGTTGCTTGGCTGTGGGCAGACCAGGAAGCGCCACCAGGTGGACCGCCTTCGAGAACCTGTCCACGATGGTTAGGATGGTCTCGAGCTGGTTGACAGGAGTTAGCCCGGTCACAAAGTCCAGACCGATGTGGGACCATGGTCGGTGCGGTATTGGGAGAGGTTGTAGATCTCCGGTCGGGGGTTGGTTTGGTGTCTTGGAACGGGCCCAAGTGGGACAGGCGGCCACGTATTCCTTTACGTCCTTGGCCATGGAGGGCCACCATAGCGCACGTTGCAGGAACTGGAGGGTTCGGGTCTCCCCTTGGTGCCCAGCCAGACGGGATGCATGCTTCAGAGCGGCAGGAGGAAGGCACATAAAGCCTGTCGGAAGGCATATCGGCAGGTGCGGGATCGGTGGGCAAGGCAGCTTGGATGGCGTCCTCTACCGGCCAGTGGAGAGCAGCGATGATCTTCTGGGCTGGGAGAATAGGATGTGGTTCCCTGGCGGGTGCAGACTGGGTGTAGCGACGGGAGAGGGCATCAGCCTTGAGATTCTTTGAACCGGGACGATAGGCCAGGTGGAAGTGATATGGCTCAAAGAAAAGCGGCCAGCGGGCCTGACGGGGGTTAAGTTGCCGGGCATTCTGGATGTGGATGAGGTTTTGGTGGTCCGTCCAGATGGTAAAAGGATCCGTTGTGCCCAGCAACCACTGCCGCCATTCCTCCAAGGCCCATTTAATAGCCAGGAGTTCCCTGTCACCTACCCCGTAATTGCTCTGGGTTGATGTGAATTTACGGGAGAAGTAAGCACAGAGGTGCAGTTTGGAATCGGGACCGTGTTGGGACAGGACCGCCCCTGCTCCCACTTCAGAAGCGTCCACTTCCACCACAAAAGGCTTTGTTGGGTCCGGGTGCACGAGGATGGGGCAGTGGTGAAGCGATGGACCAGGGTGTGGAAGGCCTGTGTGGCTTCAGGAGTCAGACGGAACAGGCGGGTCTGGTTGGAGGTCTTGGTTAGGGCAGCGAGAGGGGCCGTGATGGAGCTGAAACCGCGTATGAAGCGTCGGTAGAATTTCGAAAAGCCCAGGAAGCTCTGCAGCTGCTTCAGGGAAGTGGGTATCGGCCATTGGTCCACAGCCTGGACTTTCTGGGGGTCCATTGAGAAACCCTGGGATGAGACGATGAACCCCAGGAAGGAAATGGTCTCCTGATGAAAAGCACACTTCTCCAGCTTGCAGTAGAGCCGGTTTTCCAACAGCCGGGAGAGGACTGCTCGGACGTGTGTGACATGTTCCTCCAGGGTTCGGGAATAAATCAAGATGTCATCGAGGTAGACGAAAACCCATCTGCCCAACATGTCTCTCAGGACGTCCGTGATGAGGCGTTGGAAAACGGCGGGGCTGTTGCTCAAGCCAAAAGGCATCACAAGGTACTCCCAGTGGCCTGTCAGGGTGATAAAAGCGGTCTTCCACTCGTCGCCTTGCTTTATCCTGATCAGATTGTACGCACTGCGTTGGTCCAACTTGGTGAAAATGGTGGACTGGGACACTACATCCAGGGCGGTTGTCATTAGAGGCAAGGGGTGGCGATCGCGGACAGTGATCTTGTTTAAACCCCGGAAGTCGATTCGTGGGCGAAGACCCCCTCCTTCTTTTTTACAAAGAAGAAACCCGTGGCTCCTGGCGAGGTGGAAGGGTGGATGAACCCATGTTGAAGGGCATCAGTGATATAGGCGTCCATGGCCTGAGTCTCTGCTGGGGACAGGGAGTACAAGCGGCCCCGAGGTGGAACAGAACCGGGCAGGAGTTTTATCTCCAGGTCGTAAGGGCGGTGAGGAGGCAAGACTGTGGTGGGGTTCTTTGAGAAAACCTGAGCCAGGTCATGATAACAGGAGGGGAACTGTGACTTGTCGACATCCTCAGGGACTGGGTGGCCAGGCTCTGAATCGGGTTGAGGAGGTCGATGAGACTGGCAGCAGCACCCCATGTAAGCACTTGGCCAGACGACCAGGAGATCTGGGGATTATGGTGCAGGAACCAGGAGTGACCCAGAGTCAGGGGGGACAAAGAAGCCATCACGATCAGGAACCGGAGGGTCTCGGAGTGGGAGTTAATGTCCACGCAGAGACCAACCGTCTCCTGAAGGATTGGACAGGGTCTGATAGGGGTTCCATCCACGGAGGTAACGGGAATGGTCTGGCGGAGGGATGACAGGGGAACCCGAAGTCGAGAGGCGAGGTCTTTATCCATGAAGCAGTCTGCTGCTCCGGAATTCAGGAGCGCCTTCAGCTCGACGGGTCCCTGGGAAAGATAAAGGGTGACTGGGAGCAGGGTGCGGATTGAGGGGGCGCCGGTGACTCCAAGTAGGACCCCTCTGCTACTGCCTACTTGGGGTCTGCGTTTCCCGGCCGGAGAGGACAGGTGGCACGTCGATGACCTGGAGCACCGCAATAGGCGCACAACCCCTCTCTGTAGCGTCTCTCTCCCTCCTCTGGGTTCAGGTGTCCCAGCTGCATGGGTTCGTCAGTGGACACACTGGTTGGGCGAGGACGAGCTGGCGTTAAAGCCGTTGTCACTGGCGGTTCAGCGAATCGACGGGTAAAGAGATGCAGGTCCATCTGCAGAGCGAGGTCGGCCGCCTCGTCTAGGGTCTCCGGGGTCTCTCTTCCAATCATGCCGTCTCAAATCCGCGGAGAGAGCCCGTCCAGGTAGACCGCCTTCAACGCATCCTCCCCCCATCTCAGTTTGGCAGCCGTAGTACGGAACCGAGACGTGTACTGGGCCACAGTCTGATTTCCCTGTCGAAGCTGAAGGAGTTGGTCCTCCGCTGACAACTCGCCGCTGGGGGCAACAAAAGCCTTCCTTAGCTTGGCCACAAAAACATCATAATCGTTGCAGGCCTCCGACTTCTTATTACACAGGGCTGCGGCCCACTCCTGAGCTCGGCCCGTGAGGAGAGGGGTGAGCAGCGCCACGCGGGCTGTGGCATAGCGGTGGGGCTGACACTCGAAGGTCATGGCGAGTGTGGCTAACATGCCTTCAGGGGAGCCGCGCGATCCGTCCCACTTCTCCGGGAGGCTAAGTATCAGTTCCTCCCGTTCTCTGGAGGTTCGCTGCTGCTGCTGCACAACGGAAAGCTGGAGAACCACTGTGGCGATGGACTCCACTTTATCAGCTAGGCGACCCAGAGAAGCTCCCATCTGGGCCATCTGTGATCCCAGGGCCTCAAACTCCGCTGGGTCAATGTTAGACTCAGTCATCCTGTTAGGCCTGACTTGAGCTGAGCGGGACCGGAGCGAGAGTTTGGATTGTAGCGTGCATTTATGACCCAAGCGCGGAGTGACTGACGCTGGGAATGCTGGGTAGCGGAGTTGGACCGGGCTGAATGAGTGTGGGTT